CTGATTGGCCAGTTAGCCAGCCAAAAAGCCGATCATTAGACAGTCGACTCGATGTGCTGCTCTAAGGCTTGGTTACCCGATCAATTGTGCTGACTGTCATCTTGGATCACCAGACGCATTGGCAAATTGCACAGAAGACGCCCGTATCCAAGCTGAGTCTGACGATTAGCAGTTTCTGCACTCGATCCTATCGATTGGCAATTGCAGAAAAACAGGCATATGCACAAATTAATCGGTTTAGTATAGATCTCGGACAGGCCTAACTGGCGCGCACACCAACCAGACTTGACGGCCGCAGCGCACGAGGGGCTTCGTGCCAGTCTCGTGTAGGCCTGTCGCCTCGGCTACTCGGGCCGCACACCTGGGCCGGGTCTAGCAACCGAAAACGGTCATTATTCCGTTGATTAGAACAACAATATCATGGCGGAGTCCACATTGAAATATAATTTTGCGAGTTATAAAGAAAAAACTGGGTTTCGAAGAGTCCCCTAGTGATATATTGTGACATGACTTTCCATTTTTTTAAAAAGTTGGTTGTTATGACTTCGTGATGGGGTCTCACAGGAAACCAAAGGAGGATTGCAGCGTAGGGTGGACTGCGATATTGTGCGAAGAAGTTCTCGACTCACCGTCCTCCGACCCGAACAATGAACCGAGGACTTCTTCGCACAATACGACAGTCTTCGGCCAGCCCACGTCACAAAGTCATACCCACCATCTTTTACTTCAATATGGAAAATCATGTCACAATAATTTTTTTATGCTAAACGCATTTTTTACTCTAGACGTCTGCTCAATTCATCATGTCACAAACGTCCCCACAGACCTGGGAACACCAGCAACCGACTTATTGGGTTGAAGAGAAAGGCAGCTTTCCTTTAAAGTGAATCTTGCCGCCTTAAGACAGTATACTACTGACCTTTCTGCCGAGTAGTAACATTCAGCAAGGCTGAATTCCAACTTTTTTCAGCCTTTACCCCTTCAGTAAAATACCGAACAATGTCCTGCTCGACTAAACATTTTCCTATTATTTTGCAGATGAAAGCCCATCTTTTTAAAATGAACTAAAACCAAGCAAAGATATGAAGACCAAGATGATGTGGCATTTGCTATGATAACTACTATAGCAGAGGACTTCGAACAAGATACGTCCAATTAAGCCGACTTGGCATCACGACCAAGTTGCGAAAATGTAACCAGCCCACTTTTAAAACTGAGCATTTTACTTAGAAAATAGGAGGAAATGACGAATACAACTCGTCTTTTAATATGGCTAATACGATCGCCACAATCATTATCCAGAGTCAATCCACATTATTGCAATAGTTTATTTGCAATACTACAAACCATGTCTTTTGATTGGGTGACATTCGACTTGTGAACTGTACTTAAAGTTAAAATATATGAAAAATTTATTACCCAATCTCAGCATTAACTGATTCCTTACCATCGCTTAGGACGCATCGTCACCACCGTTGCCGACCGATGGTGAAGCTGAGACGTCTGTACAAGCCAGAGTGCGAAGGATCTCTTTTGAAGTCGGCACCCGATAAGTTTGAGACAGAGACGAATCTATCCAGACGGCCTATGGGAATCCCTTCATGCCACACTTGCATGTTCAAGCTGAGGCTATCTTCCCTGTTGATCCTGTGCCAACCGGCAATTTGCCAACTCTAACCGCCCAACCTCGTCCAAAAGATGATGGCTAGAATTGCTGAAACCGAAAGTATAGCACCTTTGATACAAGTCCACTTCCATTTAGGACAACCAACAAGAGAAGTTCCATGTTATGTTTAGCTCAAAATTGTTACATGGGCCGTAGGCAAGTCAGTATCTATATTCAGATTAAGTAGGCTAATAGACTACACGTAGATCTGGAATAGGTGCAGATCGCATAAGGTGACTGAAAGTTGCATTTTTTACAATCGCATGAGTGAACTGGACTGTACTGGACTGCACCATCACCATTCTAAGCGAGAATCGAACCCGGGTTGTGTCGTCTATAGTTTTAATGTGTTGCCACTAGGCCAGACAGCCAGGGGTGCCAGTGGGTCACAAGGCAGATGAGAATTTCAAGGAAGACTGGGTTTCTCTCATACCACATTTGTGTAATGGGATTATCATGAGAAATGCATGTATTTTGTCATTACGTTATTAATACTGACATTAAGTCGGTTGCGAAACTACCAGTAGATCATGAATAAGAGCTTTATCCCCCTAGGCTGTATAAAATGAGGGATGACTCTTGTGGTTTTGGGAAAATTCAAATATTAGGCCTTCCCCACCTCATTCGACCCAGGAGGGATACAGCTTTTATTCAAAATTATTCTCTAGTTTCAATTCAATTTACTTTATTTTTCGAATTAATTATTGTTTTCGTGACTACCAGTAAATCAGGTATGTGAGATGTATTCACCCAATTTCGTTTAAGCTGATGAAGGACTGGTAGAAGAAGAATTTTCCCACAATCATATGAGTTGAGCTGACGTTTCCATTGAATTTCATGGCCTTGCTTTCCCAAAAGTTGTTTTCATCCAGGGTGGACTGCATCGGTCTTATCAACACACTCAGCGGGGGTCGAACCGCGAGTGGTTAGCGTGTCAAGCTCCCATCATGCACTTTCGCGGTTCGAATCCCGCTGAGGGTGTTGATAAGACCGATGCAGTCCACCCTGGATGAAAACAACTTTTGGGAAAGCAAGGCTATGTGAAATTAAATGGAAACGTCAGCTCAACTCATATTATTATGGGAAAGTTCTTCTTCTACCAGTCCTTCATCACCTTAAATGAAATTGGGTGAATACATCTCAATTTACTTAGCCCAGATGACGCTTCGGTTCACCTACTTGTGGAACTTTAATGGTATATTGAAGAGGGTTAGGCTATGATATCGCCAACAGACCTTGAATAGTTGGTGTAATGGTGGAGTCGCAATTGTGCTCTGCATCGGCCGGATTCGAACCCAATTAGAGGTGCTGAGAGTCCAGACAAGTCCAGTAGAGATGAGGCAACCAAGTTAAATGCACTGGTCTCTGAAGGCCTCCTACTCATTTCAGTTTAAGAAGAACTCAGACATCCATCCTGAATACACCTTCAGTGAATAGAGCCCTTGGAGCACTCCTGTCTGGCGGCATTGTCGAGAAGGAAATGGACCTCCGAAGAAGGACTCGAACCCAAAGTCGCAGGTGTCGGCCCAGCCTCGAGACGTTTCTTTTGGCAGACCACCGGAGTACAATTCGACTCGACATATTCATCCTCGAGAAACAGAGAAGCACATCCGCAGCCCGCCGACCTCTGTTCGGGCCCGACTCTAAATTCATGTCAGGTGGAGATAGCGTCATCACCATCGGAAGCACTTGTTAAACTTGGATGTAATTAATTATGCCTGGAAGGGCTCTTTAAAGCACAAATGTCACATGACACAAACCTCTAATATCTCCTCTCAGCAGAATTTTATGCGTCCTTATGCAAAATCACCTAGGCAACCGAAGGTAGCCTCTATAAACAAGGCATTAGCAAAGTTGGGTTGTCAAAGCAACTGATGAATGCTTTTTAATTGTGTATATGCTGCACGAGCATCGACAAGCTGGTTGCACAAAGTAAACTCCATCTAAGACGTTGAATCATCGACAAAAACCTAATCAAATGATTGTATTCCTTCAGACCAACTTTCTTAAATGCCCTACCGTCTTGGATGTGGTTTTCGCTTGCCCACTTTGAAGCCCATCTACGGCTTGACGGCAAAGTCTATAATCCAGCGTATTGTTAAGACTACGGCATGGGAATAAGCGGCGGTTTAGCCTACTTGGCGAGTGGCAGACGAAGTTTTAGCCGTAAAAACTGATAAAAATGCCTGTTGATGCAATATAATGTGGCCAATTCTTGCCTAGATCGCATCAGAAACCCCGAATGTGACACACAAGACAGGCCAGGTCCATTCTAACTGAGAATAGATACGAAGAGAAACTGGGTTTCGATGAATCTCCTGAGATAACATTGTTAAGAGGACTTTCATTTCGTATGAAAGTGCGTGAAGAAGAGATTCAAAGGTCGATCTCACCAGAAGATGTCGTTGAATCCCGTTGTAATTCAGCCGTTTGGGCTTTATACGACCATCATATGATGCGAAGAGAAACTAGGTTTAGAAGCATCTCCTTTGAAAACATTGTTGGGGGGAATTTCATTTCGTATGAAAGTGTAGGAAGAAAAGATTAGAAGGTCAATCTCATCAGAAGAGGTCGTTGAATCCCGCTGTAATTTAGCCGTTTGGGTTTTATACGACCAACATTTGATGCAAAGAGAAACTGGGATTCGAAAAATCTCCTGAGATAACTTTGTTGAAGGGACTTTGATTTCGTATGAAAGTGTGTGAAGAAGAGATTCGTAGGTCGATCTCACCAGAAGAGGAGGGCTGAATCCCGCTGTACTGCAGCCGTTTGGCTTTTATACGACGTTCTGGTCGACGCAGTCACGACACCTCCCTCGTTTCCGTGAAACTGTATGAAGATCTTGTATATGCGGTGTATTCACCCTATTTCGTTTTAGTTGAATGCCTCCCTCACTGATGTAAGTAAACCTTACGCTTACATTGAATTTCGCATAGCTTTGCTTCCCATCTAATGGTCTCATTCTCGCCGAACTGGAATGCAGTTTTAACCCCGCCGAGGTCTCATTAACACCCCAGCGGGACTCCAACTCGGTTTGTGGCAATGCAGCGTATAATCTCGACACATTAACCATTAGGCTAGACTGCCACAAGGGCCCTTGAGTCATAGGGCAGATGTGAATTTCCAGGAAGACTAGGCCTTTTCCCATTTCACCTTCCGAAGTGGGATTGTCTATGAAGCAATAAACTACATTACTCATTTTTCGTTTATAAGTTGGTTCTTGGCAGCTCAACGGAAATAGGATGAACACCTATCATAGATATGATCTATTGGTAGTCTCAAAGGCCTAATTATAAACGAAAGATACGTAATTTGGTCGATTGCTAGAGTACCGTTGACTTGGTACTGGATATCTCATAAACACTAATGCAGAGGACTGTGCACGTCCCCAAAGGTCTACCTATTGCTCCGACCGAATTGCGAAAATGAAGTCGGACCAGCACTATACAGCTAAAGGAGACTGCGACCAAACAAAAGGCCATACTATTTTGGTATTCATATCCATTTTTACCTTAATTGACGAATATATTTAAACCATATTCAAGCTAACGAGTCAAGAAAACGCGTTACCTGCCCAACCCTAAATCTATTCAGTTTGGCCAGGTACAAAGATACTTTGTTGTTGGGATTACTTCCATTGCGAGTAGAAGTGTTGGGTGAAGAGATTCGAAGGTCGGTTCCACCAGAAG